CCTGCAGGTTTGGCTAGCGGTTAGGAAAGCAAATGCAATGTGAGCATTCATTTCAAGAGGGCTGGAATACAAGAGCAGAAGTGTACTGCTGAGGCTGTATAAGGCTGTGGTCAGATTGCATATGGAACGTTGAGAGCAGTTATGTGTCCCGTATCTGAGGAAGGCTATGCTGGCATTGGAGGGGGTCCAGATGAGAGGTTTACAAGAATGAATTTGGGAATAAAGGGCTTGTCAAATGAGGAGCGATTGAGGACCCTGGATCTGTGCTTGATAGACCTCAGAAGGTTGGAGAGGTGGGGTGGGGAGAGGATCTGAATGAAACTTAAAGAATATTGAAAGACCTGAATAAAGTTGACATGGAGAAGATGTTTCCACTAGTAGGAGAGAAAAGGGCATAGCCTCAGAGCGAAGGGGCAACCGTTTAGAACGGAGATGAATTTTTTCAGCCAGAGGGTGGTGAGTCTGTAGCATTCATTGCTGCAGAACACTGTGGAGGCCAGATATTGAGTATATTTAAGACGGAGATAGGTTCTTGATTATTAAGGGGGTCAAGGGTTACAAGGCGAAGGCAGGAGAATTGGTTGAGAAATGTGTCAGCCATGATCAGTGGAGCAGACTTGATGGACCAAATGGCCTGACTGTGGTCTAATGGTTTTCCCTTTTCTCCCAGCAATACCCTGATAGACATTCCAACCCCAGTGAACAATCCCCCTAACTCCACACTAAAGCTTTGTGCTCAGCTGACCCAACTGTAATAGGTTACTTTTCAACAAACTTCTACGCATCCAATCAATGCTGTTTTCCTCAGTTATCTCCGAGATCTTGAGGCTAACTCAGCTTGCTATTACGTGACATAGGTTCCCTTAACTCATTTTCAGCAGCCTTGTAGGACATCTTCCTCTCTGACACCTCGACAGCCTTCTGCTTCCAGAACCTTGGTCACTCTAACTTGCACATAGCTCCAGACTCCTCCACAGCCCCGAATGTTTGGCGTCTGCTAACACAGCATCTCTGCTCTTACGGACCTTTTTTTTTTTCTTTTCCCCCATTTCATGAATCTATTTGTGCCTCCTCTCTTTTGTGGACGAAAAACTTAAGCAAGCAAACAGCTCAGTGACTGTATCCCCAGTCGTTTAGCTGAAATCATCTAACCTCATGTAAAGGCTATCCTGAACTCTGCTCAGAATGACTTTCTGATCTTTTGAGAGAAATCGAGACAGAGTTTCACAGAACCGAACACCTCAAACCCTTTTCTCCTCCACTAGAACCCAAGTTGTCAAGAATAAATGTTGAAGTTTTGTTACAGCAGGAGGGTATGAATGGATTTTTCAGGTGGGTGGAAAAGTGGCAAATGGAATTCAACCCAGAGGGACCTGAGGTGATGCATTTGGGGAGGTCAGACAAGACAAAGGAACGAACAGAATATGGTGAGGTGTTGAGGAATTTTGCAATGAATGTCCACAGTAGGCAGACCATCCTACGAGGAACTTAAATGTCCACAGCACAGTAACTCAGTGGTGAGCACTGCTGCCTCGCAGCACCAGGGACCTGGGTTCAATTCTAGCCTCCGGCGACTGTGTCTGTGTGGAGTTTCCACACTCTTACCAGTCTGTGTGTGGGTTTCCTCTGGGTGCTCCAGTTTCCTCCCACAGCCCAGAGATGTGCAGGGTTAGGTGCATTGGCCGTGCTAAATTGCCCCATAGTGTCCAGTGATGTGCAGCCCGAGATTGTAGACGTGCTTGCCAAGCTGGTGTGTTTGGTTGCAAACGTTTCATCTCCCTGCTAGGTGACATCGTCAGTGCGCTCCAGTGAAGTGTCGGTGTTCTGTACCCTTGTTATTTATATGCCTTGGTTTGCTGGGGTGGTTGATATCACTTAGTTTTGTTTCTCGGTGGTTTGAACACCGGGTCTAATTCCGTGTGTTTGTGGATGGAGTTCCGGTTGGAATACCAGGCCTCCAGGAATTCCCTGGCATGTCTCTGTGATTGGCTTGTGCGATTATGGATGTGTTGTCCCTCGTTGTCTGTGTGTAGTGAGACAAGTGAGAATTAGTCATGTCTCTTGGTGGCTAGTTGGTGTTCATGTATCCGTATTGTCAGTTTTCTTCCAGTTTGGCCTATGTAGTGTTTCTCACAGTCCTTGTGCGGGATTTTGTATAGGCTAGGTGGATTGGTCATGCGAAGTGCCGTGTTACAGGGATAGGGTAGGGGTCGTGGGTCTGGGTAGGATGCTTTTTGGAAGGGTAGTGTGGATTCAATGGGCCAAATGGCCTGCTTCCTCACTGTAAGGATTCTATGATTCTTTAATTCTATGATCCCTGAAGCTGGTAGGACAAGTCAATAACGTGGTGTGCAAGGTAAGTCAAATCCTCCCCATATTAGCCAAGGTGTAGACTTTAAGAGAAGGAGGTTTGTTTTTTTTTATTTATTCATGGGATGTAGGCATTTCTGGCTAGATCAGTATTTACTGCCCATCGCTAATTGCCCAGAGGGCAGTTAGGCTTTGGAGTCACATGTAGGCCAGGCCAAGTAAGGATTGCCGTTTTCCCTCCCTAAAGGACATTAATGCACCAGATGGGTTTTTTCCTGACAATCAACAATGGTTTCATGGTCATCATTAGACCTTTTAATTCCATGTTTTTTCCTTGAATTTAAATTCTATATCTGCCACGGTAGGAATTGAACCTGGGTCCCTAGAACATTTACTGAGTTTCTGGATGAATAGTCTAGTATAAATACCACTAGGCCATTGCCTCCCCAAGGTTGTATGGAATCATTAGATTGGCCACAACTTGAGTACTCTGTGTAGTTCTGGTCCCCCTCATCAGAGAGGATGTAATTGCAGTGGAGAGTGGACAGAGGAGATTTTCAGAGATGTTGCCAGAACTGGAAAATGGTAACTACAAGGAATGTTTGTATAGGCTGAGGTGGCTCCGTGTGGAATGGAGGAGGCTGAGGAGAGGTTGGACAGTGTGAATGGGAAGGTCCTGTTTACCTGAGCAGATGGGTCAGTGATCAGAATGTAGAAGTCACTGCCTGAAAGAGTAGTCAAGGCAGAAACCTGAAGGGCTGTAACCTGTTGGAAAGTAGCAGGAGGCAGGATGGGTCAGTCGCTGACATGATGGACTGAATGGCGTCCCTCTGTGTTGTAAAATTATCCAGGTTTTTCTAAATATTTCAAATATCTTTAGGAGGAATGTGGGGATAAGGTGGAGGGAGGTGCAGTATATTTGTTACTCCTTGGGAGAGGGTGAGTGAGTTGAACCATCACCTTCTGTGTTCTAACAATTCTGAGATTCCTTGGGGGTCCGTGAAGCAGAGCTTGAATTGTAACGTACTGGCAACTAGGGGCAGGCCACTTTGTTCTGCTCGCTGAGCTGAGTGCGACAGATTGGCGCAGCTAGCTTTCCTGTTATAGCCGTTTGTTTTCTGTGTGTCAGCTCTGCAGATGTTGTGAATCTGGCTGAGCAGACTGTACTTGTTGGTGCGCACGCACGTGTGTGTGTGTGTGTGTGTGTGTGTGTGTGTGTTTGCGCACACAGACCCTCCATCTGCCTGTGGTCCAGCTGCATACCCTTGCCACAGTGTGTATGTCACAGGGGCTCAGTTTGATCGGCAGGACTGGATGGTTCATTTGCAATACACTGTGATGCCAATGGTTTTGGTTCAATTCCTGCACTGGCTGAGGTTACCATGACAGACTCTGCTTCTCAAACTCTTCCCCTCGCCTGGGGCGTAGTGACCCTCAGGTTAAACCACCATCTGTAATGAGAGGGAGCACCCTTATGGGCTGGTAGGAGTATGTTGACTTTACGTTTACCTTTAACCCCGGTCATTTGTGTGATCCCTGACTGACCTCAACCCTCCAGACCACTACCTCCCCCTCCCCTCCCCAGGTCTGTCTCTGGAAGGTGGGGTTTGAGGGGGAGAGGGACAGACTGGGTGGGGATGAGAGAGAGAGAGCGAGAACTTGGATTGATGGGGTGGCCAGGATTGGAATGGGTTAAATATAAAGCTAATGATCAAGAAAGGAGGTTTCAGAAGAATTGGCAAACAATCTGTCGCCAGTATGGTCTCCTGGGAGGAAGACAGTGCATCCTCTGACAGAGTATCGTCCTGTTTGGTGTGTTGTCAGCTCAGTAACTCCCCTGGACCGGGGCAGGAAGCTGGGTCAGTGAGTGCGTTTTGCAGAGCTGGGAGTTCCTGTCCTGGCAGCTCTGAGGGGTCACTGAGGCTGGAACAGTGCTATAGTCTAAGATGTAATTTGCAGCGTTGGAAACACTGCCAAAAAAAAAGCTGACACTGCGCTCCCCATGGTGGGGAGCACTTGTCTCTTATCCTCTCGCACCACCCTCCCTCCCCACAGTGGGGGAGCACCGTCAGTTCTTCACTCCCACCACCCCCTCGCCAGGAACACCATTATTCCCCCATGTCAGAAACCAACGCTGAATGCTGTTCTCTGTACTGGATATTGTTGCCAGACTTTGCTGTGGGAACCAGCCCTGACTCGCTCTTGGGAATGTAAAGTATTCCGTCACTAAAATCTCATACAGAGGCGGAGGAGTTCTCCCAGGTGTGCTGGCTAATATTTATCCCTCAGCCAGTGTCACCGAAATACACCATCTGGACACCACCAGTGCCTGGCAGATCGTGGGATCTTGCTGTGCACAAAATACCTGCCTTGTTTCTCCACCACAATAGAGAACACAAGGCAAAAGTATGTCATTGGCTGCACAGGGCTTTGGGATGTGCTGATGGACATGAACACGAGAATTGTTGGAGAGAATTATCTCTTTTTTTTCTCCTATATGTATATGTCTCTCCTTGCTGTCTGTTTTGTCTCTTTCTCTATCACACAATCTCTGGCTCTGCCCCTGTTATTAGGGTTCAGTTGTATCAGATCTGAGACCTTTTGATTGCGAGGGAATATTGACACTCCTATAGTCTCTGTGTGACCTGCTGCGATTTTCTGGAATTGATGTAGGTTTTGTTGTGTTGCAGTCTGTGATGGAACCAGGCTCCCTGGTCCGAGCAGTCTTCGATTTCCTGCCCAGTGTCTCAGAGGAGCTACCGATATTTGCGGGTGATGTCATTGAAGTGTTGAGTGTGCTTGATGAGTTCTGGCTGCTGGGGAAGAAAGATGGTGTGACCGGTAAGTGTATTGGTTAAGCAGCTTCTCCCCCACCACCTTGATCTTGACCCGACCGCCCCCCTCCATCCCTCACCACCTCTGCTGTATTTTTCATTTATTTGAGACAGGAGTAGTTCTTTCGCCCTGTTCAGACCCTCAGTCCTCTTCCCACATACAAATGCGTCACAACCGACCTTCCTCTCAACATTTTCCTACATTCGACCTAAATATTCGCTAAGTGCCAGGCAGTGACCATCTCCAGTCGTTACCCCTCGACATTCAATAAATCCCCAACTATCCACATCCTGGGGTCACCATTAACCACAAACTAAACTGGATTGGCCATATAAATACTGTGGCTACAAGAACATGCCAGAGGTTTGGAATCCTGCAGCGAGTAACTCTCCTCCCGTCTCCCTGAAGCCTGTCCACCACCTACAAGGCACAAGTCAAGAGTGTGATGGAATACTCCCCACTTGCCTGGATGAGTGCAGCCTCCAATAACACTTAAGCCTGACTTAAGCCAGGAAAAAGCAGCCTGATTGATTGGCACCACCTCCACAAGAATCCACTCTCCACCATGAACGCTCAGTAACAGGTGTGCGAGCTATCTACAGGATGCACTGCAGGAACTCACCAAGGCTCCTTAGACAGCACCTTCCAAACCCACAACCATCTAGAAGGTCAAGGGCAGCAGATATGTGGAAGCACCACCCCCTGCAAGTTCCCCTCCAAGCCACTCGCCGTCCTGGCTTGGAAATATGTCACCGTTCCTTCATTGTTGCTGGGTCGAAATCCCAGAACTCCCTGCTTGATCTCATCGTGGGCGTCCTTGCAGCAGTTGAAGAAGGCAGCTCACCACCTTTTCCAGGGAAAACTAGGGACGAACAATTAAAAACTGGTCCAGCCAACGATGCTGAGAACCCAAGACAGAACAGAAAAGATGGAGTGGCTGAACCAGCATCTCTCTTTCTCTCCCCTCCCTTCGCACCACCACCCCCACTCCACCCCATCCGACACCACCACATCCTGCATTAACAGATTGTGAACTGATGTAAAGGTCATGTGCTGAGGGAAACCTACAATTTCCTACTCGTGTAGAACCTGACCGACCCACTGAACTACAGACGACTCAAGCGCTGAGTCCTCCTGTTACTGCCCCTGGTGGCTGTACTTTGAATGGGCGAAGGCTATCTATTGGAATCCTGATGTGTTCGGATAAATGCTTCTTCTCAGAGGTTTTTTTTGTTCCTCGTGTGTGATTCAGTGAGCCTTTGTTTCCTCACGGTCTTGAGGCGGGGGGTGAAACAGAACAAATATCGACCCGTTTCTGAAGAAGGGTCCTGACCCGAAACGTCAGCTTTCCTGCTCCTCTGATGCTGTGTTCCCCCAGCTCTACACTCTGTTATCTCTCAGCCCTTGAAACCTGCTCTTTGATATGGGTAATTATCGTTACTAATGTGTGGCATGGGGATTCCCAGGACAGGCCCAGCAAAAGGTTAGATACAGAGCAAAGTTTACTCTTTTAAAGTGAAAGTAAATCTTGCTTAAAGCTGTCACCAAACACTCCCTGGAGAGGGACAGCACAACTTTTGATACAGAGTAAAGCTCTGTCTAGAATTTCAACCTGAAAGTAAAATTTTCTTTATACTTAAAGTGAAAATAAAGCTCGCTTGACACTGTCCCTATCAATGACTCTCGAGACAGGTACAGCACAGGGTTAAATACAGCGTAAAGTTGTTTCTACATTGTCCCTTTTAGAGACTTCCAGGACAGGGACAGCACAGGGTTAGAGACAAAGTAAAACACTCTCTACTCTTTTAAACTGAAAGTAAGCTCCCCTGACACTGTCCCCATCAAAAAAAAATCTCTCAGGATAGGAACAGCACAGCACATGGTTAGATAGAAAGTAAAGCTCCCTCAATACTGTCCCCTTCAAAAATCCTCAGGAGAGGAACAGCATGGGGCTAGATACAAAGCAAAGCTCCATCAACTTTTTCAAACAGAAAGTGAATGTCCCTCGACACTATCCCCATCAAACACTCCCTGGACAGGGACATCCATGGGGTTAGATACAGACTAAAGCTCTCTCTACTCTTTTTTTTTTTACAACTGAAAAGAAATGGGAGTAGGCAGTTCAGCCCGTTGAACCCACTCTGCTATCTCACACCATCGTGATGATGAGCTTCTCCTGGTCTCCACTCCACTTTCCTGTCTGCTCCCCATTGCCCTTTATCCCGCTTTTCATCAGAATATCCCGCGTTTTCATTTTTGTTTCCTGGGACTGGCTTATCCTCATGGTTAGGGCTATGAACCTTCTTAGTTCTGGATTCAGTCCCCAGACCGCATCAGTTAACATATTTTTTTTTTTAAACAACAGCAAAAAGCAGAAAATTTCAGCGGGGTCTGGCAGCACCTGTGGAGAGAAATCAGAGTTAGCATTTCAGGGTCCGGTGACCCTTCGTCGGTTCACGTTTTGTTCCCCCTTTTCTGCCCGCCCTCAGTTTGGACCTAAACCCCATGTGCAGTTGGACTGGTATCTCCTTCAACTTTGGCCTCCTCTGTCAGCGATTCGGGCAGATGTTGTGCGCGTGAGGACAAGTTTGTGTTTCATGTGATGGTGGTCTCTCCTGCTCTCTCTCCTCCCTCACCCCACCCCCTCTAGGGCAGTTCCCCAGCAGTTTTGTGGAAGCTGTCTCCATTCCGAACACCAAGCTAGGGGAGAGGTTGTGTGTTTGCATCAATGACTTTGTCGCTGCCACCAGCAGTGACCTGTCTCTCCGACGTGGTGAGTGAAGTGACGTTTCAAGTTATTTCGGAGAACTTTAACACCCTTTGGTCAGGAATATCTGTATGGATTATAACATGGGGTAAAGATGGCAACAACGGCAGGTTACAATTATGTAGCGCCTTTTCATCGAGTTAAAGGCCCTTCTCTCTGATCCCAACAATTTGAGAGAATATGGACAGGCGCCTGGAGGCCTGGCTGGAAAGATTTTTTTTAAAAAGTATCTTCAGGAGGAAGAGAGTGGTTCACACAAGGTATTCCAGATCTGAAGGCGCAGCCACCAATGATAGAGCATTAAAAGTTGGAATGTTGAGGGATGATTATTTGGCAAAATGCTTGGGAATGCTCCCACTCTCCTATGAAGTTGAGGTCACGGGATCTTGTCACCCTGTAAGTGGGTAGACGGGGCCTCAGTTTAATGTCCCGTAAGACGAGCAGAATCTCTGACCATGCTGCATTCCCTCAGTCACACGCTGGAAGCCTCAACTGGGAGCTTTGTGCTGGAGTCCTGAGTGTGGGAGTTTGAGCTGGTGGCTGTCTGACTCACAGGTGAGTGTGCCACCCACTGAGTTCAGAGAACGGGACATTCGTCAATCCCCTGATCCATTTCTTGGCAAACACAAGGGACGATCAGCGAGAATGATGCCAAGCTGTCCCCTGCAATGATTTCAAAATCCTGTGAAACCGTGTCGGAAGGTTACTTTTTTTCTGAATCACTGTGTAAGGGAGGTGTGTTTTTATCAGCCTTTCATTATGTTTGTTTTTGTTTGAATGTGTAACTGAGGCCCCATTCTGCAGTGGGTTTGTTTTGTATTTGAAAGAACTTGGCATCGCTTGGGAGCTATCAGAGACACAGACCCCATTGTGACCAGACATCCCCAGGCTGACCCCCACCCAGCTATGGCATCGCTCAAAGGCCAGTTCAGTCATCTCGAGCATCATGTGATCCCTAAACACAGGGCTGAGGTTATAAACCATTTCTGTTGCTACATTCCTCCACCTACATGACTATTCTTTCACAGAGGCAAGGGAGCAATGCCAAGTGTTGCTCACTGGGGTCAGAGGCCAGTGAGTAAATGGACGAGGGTGTAGCTGTAATCATTTAACCTACAGCATATAGAGATGACCATCAACCTCTCAAACCTGTTCTATTACTGCATTTGCTCCCCTGCCCAACTTAAAAAAAAAACACAAACTCTTAAACCTGGTCTTGAAAGATCTAATTTAAAGCCCAGAATTCCCCACCTTCATTTGGAAGGAGATTTCCAGATATCGCTTCCTCTTTGTGTGAAGAAATACATCTTGGAATCTTAATAAAAACTGAAAGAATTGCGGATGCTATAAATCAGAAACAAACGCAGAAATTGCTGGAAAAGCTCAACAGGTCTGGCAGCATCTGCTGAGCTCTTCCAGCAATTTCCGTTTTTTTTTTTTTTTTTTTTTTTGCTTCTTGGAATCTTCCTGGATACTGTCCAGAACTGCCCTGGCTCAAATTTTACAGCAGTTTCTTCTTGTTCTGCACACCCTGCCAAGGGAACTAGCTTCTGTCCATCCACCCAGTCTAATCCCTCTCATCGTTTTATACACCACCAGCCAATTTGAAGAGAGGCCGGACAGGCAGAGCAGAGGAAGCTGAGGTGGGATCCGATTGAGTTGCAAAGCTCTGAGGGGCACAGACAGTGTAGTTGGGAAGAAACTGTTTTCCCTTTCATTAGAGGGATCAATAACGTTTTGAGGTGAGGGGCAGGAGGTTTAGAGGGGATTTGAGGAAGAATTATTTTGTCCCGAGTGTGGTGGGTTTTTGGAAGTCAATGCATGAAAGGGTAGTAGAAGTGAGAACCCACAAGATCTTTAAAGAATATTTAGATGATGTCTTAAAAAGCCATAGCATACAAGGCAACAGACAGTCCCAAATGCTGGGAACTAGGATTAGAATCGATGATTCCAGATTCACAGCTAGGTTAGAATCAAACTGTTCTGAGGAATGGTCACTGGACCTGAACAGTAACTCTGATTTCTCTCTACAGATGCTGCCAGACCTGCTGAGCTTTTCCAGCAACATTTGTTTTGCTTTCCGATTTCCAGCATCCGCAGCTCTTTTGGTTTTTTTTTGGTTAGAATCGATGAAGCTTGATGATCAAAACAGAGATGATGTGCTGAAGGGCCTTTTACGTTGTGCTGTAAAACTCTATGACAATCATTAGATCACCCATTGACTGTCTCAACCCAACTTTAACTGATTTCTTGGTGTCTTTCAATATTTTCATTTTATGTTTATCTAATTTGCTGTAAACCTTGGGGCTGACCAGTTTCCCTCCACCTTGATGAAGCTGAATTCCTGACACTAATGCAATCACATGTGAAACCCCCTTCTCCCGCACCAAATCTGTTGGTCTCCATATTAATTCTAGTATTGTCCTCGCATCTCAGACTCGCTACCCTATCCTGAAACCCATCCCCTCCTGTAGATTCTCTCGAGACTTGAAGTTTTCTCACGGCAAGACAGATCAGGGGTTAGCACTGCTGCCTCACACATCAGGGACCAGGGTTCACTTCCACCCTCAGGTGGCTGCCTGTGTGGAGTTTGCACATTCTCCCCATTTCTGTGTGGGTTTCCTCCCACAGTCCAAAGATGTGCAGGCTGGGTGAATTGGCCATGCTAAATTGCCCGTGGTGTACAGGGATGTGTAGATTGGGTGGGTTACAGGGGGCTGGGTTGGGTGGGATGCTCTGAGGGTCGGTGTGGATTTGTTGGGCCGAAGGACCTGTTTCCACACTGTAGGGATTCTATGAATTCTCAGCCGTACAATTTAACCTGACTTAACCTTTGCTGTTGCACTGTTTCTGTCAGGTACACAATCACACACCCCTGCACTGGCTCATACCATCACACTCTCGCACAGGCGTGAGTGACGATGTGCACGGACACAGATAATCTTGTACAGAGAGACCAGGTCATATGTTGCAGGCCCCAGTGCTGTTTGTGGTCCAGGCCCTAAGCCCAACCCCTCCAACCAAACCCAAGTTCATCGGGTCCGCTGCAGGCCCAGGACCCCTGATGTACCTAAATAAAAACAGAAAGAACTGCGGATGCTGTAAATCAGGAACAAAAACAAAGTTGCTGGAAAAGCTCAGCAGGTCTGGCAGCATCTGTGAAGGAAAAAACAAGAGTTAACGTTTTGGGTCTAGTTCTGAGGAAGGGTCTGAAACGTTAACTCTTGTTTTTTCCTTCACAGATGTTGCCAGACCTGCTGAAGTTTTCCAGCAACTTTGTTTTTGCCCCTGATGTACTTCTCTTGTACCCAGCCCTGTTTAAAAGATTTTCAGAAGTAACCTGGATAATGTTCAGCAGGTCAGGCAGCATCTGTGGAGAGAGGAAAAACAGGTAATCACTCCAGGTTTATGAGCTTTGGCCTGAGCTCGGAAGAGCTTAAGAGATGTGACTGGTTAGGGAAGCAAATACATTGCTCCTGAGAAAACATTGCCAGTTTGAAATGAGACAACAAGGTGCACGGCTGGATGAACAATGCAGGCCAAGCAGCATCATAGGAGCAGAGAGGCTGACGTTTCGGGCCTAGACCCTTCATCAGAAAAGGGGGAGGGGAAGGGGGTTCTGAAATAAATAGGGAGAGAGTGGGAGGCGGATAGAAGATGGATAGAGGAGAAGATAGGTGGAGAGGAAACAAACAGGTCGACGAGGCGGGGATGGAGCCAGTAAAGGTGAGTGTAGGTAGGGAGTTAGGAAGGGGATAGGTCAGTCCAGGGAGGACGGACAGGTCAAGGGGGCAGGATGAGGTTGGTCGGTAGGAGATGGAGGTGCGGCTTGAGGTGGGAGGAAGAACAGGTTAGGGAGGCAGGGACGAGCTGGACTGGTTTTGGGATGCGGTAGGGGGACGGGAGATTTTGAAGCTTGTGAAATCCACATTGATACCATTGGGCTGCAGGGTTCCCAAGCGGAATATGAGTTGCTGTTCCTGCAACCTTCGGGTGGCATCGTTGTGGCACTGCAGGAGGCCCAGGATGGACATGTCGTCTGAGGAATGGGAGGGGGAGTTGAAATGGTTCGCGACTGGGAGGCGCAGTTGTTTACTGTGAACCGAACGTAGGTGTTCTGCAAAGCGGTCCCCGAGCCTCCGCTTGGTTTCCCCGATGTAGAGGAAGCCACACCGGGTACAGCG